AGGAGCTGTCAGAGAGTTGGTGTTCAGCCTTCATAATGTAGAGATAGTACACCAGACAACACCTGTACATTGTCAGCAGGTTTGATTGCAAATTCAGAGTTGGATCTGAGAGCACGATGTGTAGTAAGTTCCTACAAATCTGGAACTCACCGCCTGTAAGGGTAGTAGAAGCAGAAATCCTCACAACATTAACGAAGTATTTAGATGAGCAATTACGATGCCAAAGCACACAAGGTTATGAGCCAAGTGCTCGAAAATGGGATTAGAATAGTTAGGTGGTTGTTAATGCAATAGGCCAAAGGGCCTTTCTGTGCTGTAGACTTCTATGACTCTATGAGATAGGTTGGAATGGAACAAGGAGAGCAGAGAAATTTAGGCCAGCAAGTTCAAGTCAACAATTCTCAATGAGTAGGTTTGGTTCAGGTAAATAGTCACAGGGAGGGGTCCTGGTGGAGGGGGAGTGTTGAAGGAGTGTGAAGAGATCTCTGGGACTGGGACAGGACTCCTGCCCAAAGAAATGGGCATGAACCAGATCTGACAGAAGAAGAGTTCAAACTCATGCTGTGCCCAAAATTCATTTGAGAAGGGAGAGTAAGGAGTTAAAACTTTATTTTTATATTCATGAGTGGGAAGTGTACATTGCTGGTTGGGCCAGCATTTATTGTCCCTAGTTGCTCTTGTGAAGGTGGTGCTGAGCTGCCACCTTAAACTGCCGCAGTCCACTTACTGTGCATTAACCTACAATGCCATTAGGGAGGGAATTCCAGGATTTTGATCCAGTGACTGTGAAGGAACAACAATATATTTTCAAGTAAGGATGGTGAGTGGCTTAGAGGGGAACTTGCAGGGGATGGTGTTCCCATGTATCTGCTGCCCTTGTCCTTTTTAGATGGAAGTGGTCGTGGGTTTGGAAGGTGCTGTCTCTGGATCTTTGATGAGTTTCTGCAGTGCATCTTGTAGATAGTACACACTGCTGCAACTGAGCATCAATGGTAGAGGGAGTGGATGTTTGTGGATGTGGTACCAATTCAGCAGGCTCCTTTCAGTGTTGTTGGAGCTGCACCCATCCAGGAAAGTGGGGAGTATTCTGTCACACTCCTGACTTGTGCCGTGTAGATCATGGACAGACTTTGGGGATTCAGGAAGTGAGTTATTCGCCACAATATTCCTAGCCACTGACCTCCTGATGTGGCCAGTGTTTATATGACAAGTCCAGTTGAGTTTCTAGTCAATGATAACCCCCAGGATATTGATAGTGGGGGATTCAGTGATGGTAACATCATTGAATGTCAAAGGATGCTGGTTAAATTGTCATAGCCTGGCATTTATGTCGCGCAAATGTTACTTGCCACTTGTCAGCCCAAGCCTGGATATTGTTCAGATTTGAACACTGACTGCTTTAGTATCTGAGGAGCCGCAAATGGTGTTGAACGTTGTTTAATCATCAGTGAACATCCCCACTTCTGACCTTATGATGGAGGGAAGGTCATTGATGAAACAGCTGAAGATGGTTGGGCCGAGGACACTATCCTGAGGAATTCCTGCAGAGATGTCCTGGAGCTGAGATGACTGACCTCCAACAACCATGACCATCTTCCTATGTGTCAGGTATGACATTTTTTCCCGAATATTCATTTATAGGATGAAGGTATTGCTTTTAGGCAGCATTATTGCCCATCCCAGTTGCACAGAGGGCAGTTGGGAGTCAACCACATTGCTGTGGGTCTGGAGTCACATGTAGGCCAGACCAGGTAAGGATGGCAGTTTCCTTCCCTAAAGGACATTAGTGAACCAGATGGGTTTGACCAACAATCGGCAATAGATTCACGGTTATCACTAGATTCTTAATTCCAGATATTTTTTATTGAATTCAAATTCCACCATCTGCTGTGGTGGGATTCAAACCCAGAACATTATCTTGGTCTCTGGATTATCGGTCCAGCAACAATACCGCTAGGCATTGACTCCAACCAGTGGAGAGTTTGCCCCCTGGTATCCATTGATTCCAGTTTTGCCAGGGCTCCTTGATGCAACACTCGGTTGAATGTGGCCTTGATATTAAGGGCTGTCACTCTCACCTCACCTCTAGAATTCAGCTGTTTTGTCCATGTTTGAACCAAGGCTGTAATGAGGTCAGGAGCTGAGTGGCCCTGGCAGAACCCAAACTGGACATCACTGAGCAGGTTATTGCTGAGCAGGTGCTGCTTGATAGTACTGTTGATGACACCTTCCATCATTTTACTGATGATCGAGAGGAGACTGATGGGGCGGTAATTGGCTGGGTTGGATTTGTCCTGCTTTTTGTGTACAGGACATACTTGGGCAACTTTCCACATTGTCGGGTAGATACCAGTGTTGTAACTGTACTGGAACAGCTTGGTTAGGAGAGCGGCAAGTTCTGGAGCACAAGTCTTCAGTACTATTGCCGGAATGTTGTCAGGGCCAATAGCCTTTGCAGTATCCACTGTCTCCAACCGTTTCTTGATGTCATGTGGAGTGAATTGAATTGGCTGAAGGCTGGTATCTGTAATGCTGGGGACCACTGGAGGAGACCGAAATGGATCATCCACTCAGCACTTCTGGCTGAAGATTGCTGCAAATGCTTCTGGTTATCTTTTGCACTGATATGTTGGGCTCTTCCATCATTAAGGACGGGGATATCTGTGGATCCTCCTTCGGCGAATTATTTAATTGTCCACCACCATTTATGACACAATGTAGCAGGACTGCAGAGTTTAGATCTGATCCTTTGGTTGTGGGATCGCTTAGCTCTATCACTTGCTGCTTCCGCTGTTTGGCATGTAAGTAGTCCTGTTTGATAGCTTCACCTTTACTAAGTACAGAATGTTCAGCCTCAGAGAGCAGAAGGTTAGAATGGATAGTAAGAGCTGGGGCTACGTGAAGGGGTGGCATCAGTGGGGAGAAGAAGAAGATTCCAGAGTATGGCATTATCTCTGGACTTAATCCAGAGTCCCAGGTAATATTCTAGGGACCTGGGTTTGCATCCCACCACAGCAGATAGTAGATTTTGAATTCAGTAAAAATCTGGAATTAATAATCTAATGATTACAATGAATCCATTGTCAATTTTTAGGAAAAACCCATCTGGTTCACTAATGTCCTTTGGTGAAGGAACCTGCTATCCTTACCTGGTCTGGCTACGTGTGACTCCAGACCCACAGCAATGCGATTGATTCTTAACTGCCCTCTGAGCAATTAGGGATGGGCAATAAATGCTGCTTAGCCAGCAACGCCCTCATCCTGTGAATGAATTTTTTAAAAGTGTCCACTCGGCTATAGCGAGCTATATACCTGAACCTGAAATCTCTCAGTATCTCCACAGATTATAGAAAATAGAAATAATAAAAACTGTAGAAATGATCTGTGTTATATTATTTCTATTTTTTTTATAGAGTCACAGATCTATAGCATGAAGAAAAGGCCCAACAGCCCATTGAGTCTTTACCAGTCAAAAACAACCAATTTACTATTCTAATCCCATTTTCCACCACTTGGCCTTAGCTTTGTACATCTTGGCGTCACACATGAACATCTAAGTACTTCACAATACAGGTACTGAGTTACAATTTCCCACCAACCTCCTGGGTGGAAATGTTTCCCCTCAATCTCCTCTGTGCTCGACAAAATAACTCCTGTCTATCCTATCTCTCTTCATAACTGAAACCCTCCAGCCCAGGCAATATCCTGGTAAACCACCTCCGCACTCTCTCGATGCTCCTTTCAAAGTGAATTCTAGAACTGCACACAATACTCTACCTTTGACTAACTCAGAGATAGTAAGAAATGCCAATGCTGGAGTCAGAGATACCACAGTGTAGAGCTGGAGGAGCACAGCAGGCCAGGAAGCATCAGGGGAGCAGAAAAGTTGACGTTTCGGGTCGGGACCCTTCTTCTGTTATCTATTAGCTGTGACTAACTAATGCTTTACACAGTTCTAGCATAACCTCCCTGCATCTAAACTCTATGCCTCAGTTAATAAAGGCAAATATTACGTAATGGACAAGTGGACATACACATCAAGATTCCTCTGATCCTCAGTGCTTCCCAGGGTTCTACAATTCATCATGTATTCCCTTGCCTTGCTTGTCCTGCCCAAATGCATCACTTCATATTTATCTAGATTGAATTCCTTTTGCCAGTGATCAGCCTGTCTGACCAGACTGTCTATACTGTAGTGTAATCTAAGGCTTTCCTCCTCCCTATTTACACCCAACCAATTTTCATATCATTTGTAAACTTACTGATCAAACCTTCTACATTCAAGTCCAAATCATTTATGTATACCACAACAACAAGGGCCCTAACACTGATCCCTGTGGAACCCCACTGGGTACAGGCTTCCAGTCACAAAACATCCTCAACTAGCATGCTTTGCTGCCTGCCACTCAGCCAATTCTGGATCCAATTTGCCAATTATTCTTGGATCCCATGTGCTCTTACCTTTACTATCAGTTTCCCATGCAGAACCTCATCCAAAGCTTGTCCAAGTCTGCACCACATTTGCACCTTTTTCCAAGTAGACTCCATCAAACACATTGCCCTCATCTACATACCTCACTGAAATTCAATCCAGTTGGTCAGACCTTTAACAAAACCATGCTGCCTGTTCTTGATTAGTCTCTGCCTTTGTAATCCTCTTCATCACTGTGTCTTCCAGTGAGTGCTCCACAGTTCATTTAGTTTTGAAATAATCCAGCATTCTCTTCATTCACTTGTTCACTACCACTTCCCCATTCTCTCCTTTGCTGCCCTCTTCATTGCCACATTTACCCCCCAACTTCTCCTTTGTCCTCTCACCCCTCCTTTGTCAGCCCTCAGCCCCCTCTTCCCCCGTTATCCTTCTCAAGCCCCCACCATCTCCTTTGAAGTCACTCTCCCCTCATCCCACCATCTCCTTTGAAGTCACTCTCCCCTCATCCCACCATCACCTTTGAAGTCACTCTCCCCTCATCCCACCATCTCCTTTATCCCCCAGTTACCATTGCATCGGTAGCGTAGATTTGCCCAGATGATGTTTTCCTGTGAGAAGCAGAAGACTCCAAGTCTCCCTCCACGCATCGTAGTGTCAACGATTGCCCCTGAATCTGCCACAATCTTTGGTCCTTCATACAGTCGGACTCTGTGAGAACAAAAAGAGGCTCAATGGGTTACGGGGGGAGGGGGGTGATCAGATTGGGGGGTAGGGAATGGCGGGAGGTCAGTGACCCTGGAGAGGAAGCAACAAGACCTGAAAGTCTGCACCTTTTTTGTGAAAATAATGGGTACCAGATAGTACAACCAACCTTTGATGCCACCCTGGTGAGACTGGGTGGTACAGTCTTCCCTAGCAACCAGTTTCTAGCTGTGATGACGTGAATGTCTGCCTGGATGAGGGGATGAGGAAACAGGGTTTTGACTGAGAATCACCACCACCTCCTGTAATGTACCCCTCCCCTGAGGCTGTGACACCTCCCGCAAGCCTCCACTCCTCAGACTGTGACCTACCTGATGTACCCGACCTGGGGTCGATGTTGCAGGAACCAGCGATATGAAGTCTTGTCTTTCCACCCAATATTCCTGGGATCTTTCCACAAAAGCTTGACTTGATTGCTGGTGTCTCCTGTGTGCCAGAGGGCATTCCGCAGGTGTTCCCCTGGGCCAGTCTGAGATTTCACTGCCTGTTTATGACAAATCCATTAGTAAAAAGATCTGTTGGTTTACTGAGATATCATCGCAGATCCTTTATCTGCCACCAACCCCCAGTCCCCGTTCCATTGCGAGTGGGAGGGTTGGCAAACATGGACATACTTCTTAAATCAAATCATGGATACAATCAAATGCAACCCAGTCCATGCAGTGTATCAGATATCAGAATTGATTATAATTCATTGGTCCAAACTTATGACTCCCTCAGTAAGATAATCAAATGTATAAAATCTTCCTTATATATACACCATTTACACAGTGTCTTCTGACTTTGTCTGGTTAATCTCCCTTCAATAAGCCACCACAATGACAGCAGTCTCCTCACAAATAGGATGGGGACCAGAACAAATCTGTTCATCCACATCACCTCCTGATGGTCCTTGTTCTGATTTATGATACAACTGCTTCATATCTTCATCTTCTTGGGGTCGGTTAATGAGATAATGTCTCCACTGGCCCATCCATCATAAAATGAATATTAATCTGTGAATCTCTGTATTTGAATGATTTGGGACAGCACAGTCAGCCAGACTTGTAGCTATCATCCACGTTAACAGATGACAATTAACACAGACCACATACTCTCAACAGGTTCACACTGTGCACCATCCAAGTGTGACTCAGCACTGGAGGAGGCCACTTCGCCCATTATTCCTACACTGGCTCTCTGAAAGAGCTGCCCAATTAGTCCCACTCCTCTTGATCTTGGCCTGTAAATTCATCCTCGCAAAGTGTCTGAGATGCAAATGTGGATGCAGAATAGAAATCATGAAATACAAACATATAAAGCAACAGCAGTACAAATGTCTAACGACAGGGCCATCAATAGAGTGAACAAACACTGGAATTTATTTCTATTGAGCCTAAAGCAGCGCAGCAATGATTGGTTGGACCACAGTCGGAGTTGGCAACACTGAGTGAGGATAAAGTTGTTGAGGGGGGGTGCACAGTGGAGCTCGGGGCAGGAAAGTGGGGTCAATATGGAGTGAAGCACAGGAAGGCAGGCAATACAGGGAGGAGAGTGTGGCACAGACTGAGGGATGGAGAGGTTGACACAGCATGGCGGTTAACATGTTGCAGGTGCAGAGTCATGCCCTGCAGTCTCATTCCATGGGCTATTCCACCAGCAAAGGGAGATTTCACATTCAGAACAGTCACTCACCTTGAGCTGGATCCCAGGGTCTGCCACAGCTCGGAAAGGATTAGCTTGCCAATAGGTTTGTTCTGTCTGTTTCCACATTACCACATAGAAACTGGAGCTGTCCTGATAGCCGAAGATAAATCCAGCATAGTCGTCATCTGTCATTGTGTTTACGTGAAATGTTCCTTCAAAATCTACCCCATTAAAGGCTGTGTAACCTGTACAGAAAGAACATGATCACTCTGGTGAAAGGGTCAATAATACATGAGCAATGACTTCACATTCTCAATTATTGAGTGGTGGGAGAAGTTGAAAACAGTCTTAGGGAAAGTGGAATCCTGTATATCTCGATTCTCAACACCACAGAGTTTCGAATGTTAATTTGAGAAGGAACAATATTAAGATGGTGTGAGATCGAGGCTGTTGCATCCAGCAAGCTTTAAAGTCTAGTTAGAAATAACTCTTTCAGCATAAGATTAGATACATTCGTGGCTGGTTGGTTGAATATGCTATTAAAGTTGATGGACAGTGTTCAGTTAAGGACAGGCAGTATATTACACTGGCAATCCATCCAACTGTCTGGATGTGGTGTGGAGCTAACTGGCTGCTTCTCTATCATGGCTATGTCTGAGCCTGGGATTCCTGGACAAAGAACAATAAGTGTCTACCAAAACGACTGAGGCTTACCAAGACCATTGGGCACTAGAGCAGCTGGAGTGCATTCTCAACTCCCAAATCACTTTTTAATCTAAGTTGATAGCTTTCTGTTAATAGTTTGTTTTTGCTCCGTTTCCCATTTAAGGTGCTGAGCATCAGTTAACTTGTTTATTGGTATATTCAACAAAGGTGAAGGGAGTCCACTGGGACACTGTGTTGGTAATAAGGAGGCAAAAATCTGTAATATGCCATCCCATTTGTAAATCAACCAAGAGAGAAAATGATTTACAACTGATTTCACACTTCCCCATCTGTAAGGATCCATTACTCCCAGGAACAGGGGCAGCACGCAGTTAGATACAGAGTAAAGCTCTCTCTACACTGTCCCCCATCAAACACCGTCAATACAGTGAGGACCATCCATAACCTTATCAGGAGACCTCCCACCCATGGTCTCCAACCTCCAACCTCATCGTTCCCCAACCCCGTGCCACTCGTTTCTATCTCCTTCCCAAAATCCACAAACCTGACTGCCCCGGCCAACCCATTGTCTCTGCCTGCTCCTGCCCCACTGATCGAATCTCCGCTTTCCACAATGCTGTCTATTCCCCCCTGGACCAGGAACTCCTCCCCTACCTTCAGGACACTACCCACACCCTCCACCTCACCAACACTTTCAAATCCCTGGCCCCCAACACCACATCTTCATCATGGACATCCAATCCCTGTACACTTGTATCTCCCACACGGATGGCCTAAAAGCCCTCCGCTTCTTCCTCTTCCACAGGCCCAACTAGTCCCCCTCCACTGACACCCTCATCCGCTTAACCAAAATCATCCTCACCCTGAACAACTTCTCCTTCAACTCCTCCCGCTTCCTACAGACTAACGGAGTGACTATGGGCACCTGTACGGGTCTGAGCTGTGCCTGCCTCTTTGTAGGATACGTGGAACAGTCCCTCTTCCGCTGCTACATTGGCACTATCACCCACCTCTTCCCCCGCTACATCAATAACTGAATCAGCGCTGCCTTGTCCTCCCACGAGGAGCTTGAACAGTTCATCAACTTTACTAAAACCTTTCACCCCAACCTCAAATTCACCTGGAATATCTCCAACACCTCCATCTCATTCCTGGACCCCTTTGCCTCCATATCCAGTAACTGTCTTGGCACTGACATCTATCTCAAACCCACCGACTCCCACAGCTACCTCGACTACATCTCCTCTCACCCACCCTCCTGCAAGAATACAATCCCTTATTCCCAATTCCTCCGCCTCCGCCACCTCTGCTCCCAAGATGGGACGTCCTGCACATCCCAGATGTCCTCCTATTTCAAGGACCACAACTTCCCCTCTCTGGTGATCGAAAATGCCCTCAACCGCATCTTTTGCATTTCCTGCACTTCTGCCCTCAAACCCCCTCTCCCCAATAAAAATAAATACAGAGTCCCCTGGTCCTCACGTATCACCCCACAACCTCCGCGTCCAGCCACTTCCGCCACCTACAGTCTGACCTCACCACCAAAGAGATATTTCCCTCCCCACCCGTATTTGCCTTTCGTAGGGACCGCTCCCTCTGCGACTCCCTCATCCACTCCACAACCCCCTACTAGCCCCACTACACCTGGTACCTTTCCCTGCAACCGCAGGAGGTGCTACACCTGCCCCTACACCTCCCCTCTCACCTCCATCTGAGGCCCAAGGCAAACTTTCTTTATCTGACAGGGGCTCACTTGTACATCCTCCAACCTGGTCTACTGTATCTGTTGCTCCTGAAGTGGCCTCCTCTACATCAATGAGACCAAACGCAGACTCGGTGCCAGATTTACAGTGCACCTGCGCTCTGTACACTATAATCAACAACACTTTCTGGTCGCTAACCATTTTAACTCCCCCTCCCACCCCCTGGGTGACATATCCATCCTGGGCCTCCTCCAGTGTCACAATGATGCCACACACCAATTGCAGGAACAACACCTCATATTCCACCTTAGGAGCCTACAGTCTGATTACCTAAACATAGAATTCACCAGTTTCAAAATCTCCCCACACCCGGCCTTATCCCATGTCCAACCCTCCCTCTAATCCCCGCCTCCTTGACCTGACACTACCTGTCTGTCTCCTTCCCCACCTATCTGCCCCACCCTTCCCACTGATCAATCCCCACTACCCCCGACCTGCATCCACCTATCACCATCCAACCTACCTTCCCTTAGCACCACCCCTCTTCCCTCTATTTATTTCCCAGCTCCCTTCCCCCTTCCCAGTCCTGATGAAGGGTCTAGGCATGAAATGTCAGCTTTCCTGCTGCTCTGATGCTGCCTGGCCTGCTGTGTCCATCGAGCTCCACACTGTATCGACTCTGACTCCAGCATCTGCAGTTCTTGCTATTTCCCCATCAAACACTCCCAGGACAGGGACAGCACAGGGTTAGATACAGAGTAAAGCTATCTCTACACTGTTCGCCCTTCCCCCCATCCCCCGTCCCCAATCAAACACTCCCAGGACAGGGACAGCATGGGGTTAGATACAGAGTAAAGCTATCTCTACACTGTCCCCTTTTGGAGGACATTGTGATATTGATTCTAGTTTTGTGCAATTTGTCATCTGAAAATATTAAAATCGAGAGAGCAACTTCTCTTACCGACTGCGAGACCTGGATCACTGTTCATTGTCTGCACAATCTCCATCCCCTGCAATATCACAGTAACCATGAACGATACAACTCTGAGATACATATTTGAAATAGCTCATGAGCAGTTTAAAAATCAAACTTGCTTCAAATCTGGAATACTTCTATCACAGTCATGGGTGCACAGATTTTAAAGCACATGTGATGTTTATAAAAAAGATTGTCCTCACCAAGATGGAGCAGAGGGACCTCAGGGTTCACGTATATGATTCTCTGAAGGTGGCAAGGCAAGTTGAAAAATTGTTAAGAAGGCTTATAGCTTCCTTGGGTTTATAAATAGAGGCATAGAGTGTAATAGCAAAGCAGTGATGGTACACCTCTACAAATCACTTCGTCAGTCCACATTTGGAATATTGTGTTCAGTTTTAGGCACTTTACTTAAGGAAGGATGCTAAAGTCCTGGAGAGAGTGCAAAGGATATTCACTAGAATGATACCAGGAATGAGCGATTTTAGGTACAGAAACGATTAGAGAGACTGGGCTTATTCTCTTTGGAGCAGAGAAGATGAAGAGGTAATCTTATTGAGGAGTTCAAAATTATGAACAATTTTAACAAGGTAAAGAAGGATATTCTGGTTCCACTAGTTGGTATGTCAGTAATTAGGGGTCATAACTTCAAGATTGTCAGCAAGACAGCTAGGTGAGGAGAAACCTCTGCACTCAGACAGTTGTTAGGATTTGGAATGCACTGCCTGGGAGAGTGGTGGAAGTGGATTCCATAGGAAATTTCAAAAGAGAGCTGGATGTATATTTGAAAGTGATGAAGTTAGAGGGTGATGGAGGTAGGGTTGGAGAATGGGATTAGCTGGGTAGCTCTTTCAGGAGCTGGTACAGACACAATGGGCTGAATGGCTGTCTGCTGAACTGTAAAATTGTATGATTCCATGAAGTATTATCATGAAACATCAGTGTGTCAGCATAAATCATTGCAGCAGTCAAAATTCAATCAGAAACAAAATTTCAAAGAATGAACAGGATCCTATATCTCTCAATGAAACCTGCCTGAATAGGACACGCCAATGTGTCTCAGTTAAAATTACAGATCAACTGAAACTAATGATTAGTTAAACTCTGTTTATTTCAGAGCGAGAAAAGTAATTGTAATGGAAATATTTCTCTGACTTGTGTGCACAATGTTATCTTAAAATAAAGTCTAGAGGGTCTTGTGCTGTTCACAGTGGGTCCCATAGCCTCATTTGAGGTACACTGTGTGTCCTATACTGGTAGGTGTGGTACCTGGGGCGTGTCGTATACTGGCAGGTGTGATACCTGGGGCGTGTCCTATACTGGCAGGTGTGGTACCTGGTTTAAGACAACCCAGTTTGGGTCAATCTGCGCATCTCCCTCAGGATCCAGGATCACCGTCTGATAGGCTCGGAAATCAGTGAGTGCAATCTCAGCATTTTCAGGACAAACATCGATAACGTCAATGACCTTATCGTCATCAAAATCTCCTTCGCACACGTCTCCCATCCCATCACCTGTCACATATTTCAAAGAAGTTTAACTTAGTAACCTCTGATTAATTTAGTAGATCAAGCCAACTGAGCTGTATTCTGACCCAGCAACCCCGAACTAATCCCACTCCCTCCATTCTCCCCCCATAGTCTTGAATCCATTCCAAACTAATCCCACTGCCACGTACACCTCTAGTATCAACCTCAAACAAGTCCCATGTTCTGTACCCTCCCCATAACTCTGTATCAGTCCTAAAGTAATCACTCTCTGTTTTATCCTTTCTCAATCTCTGCCCCATTCCCTCCCTATCTCCCTGAAACAGAGACTGAGAAAGACACAAACATTTGTCACTCACCATCATAATCTTCCTGCATTGGATTAGCTACAAGTCGGCAATTGTCTGGTCCAGGAGTGACATAATCAGGAATTCCATCATTATCATCATCATCATCACATTCGTCACCCAGTCCATCCCTGTCTGTGTCTAGTTGGGCACTATTAATGACCGTCGGGCAATTATCTTTGCTGTCCTGGTGCCCATCACCGTCGCTGAGGGTAGAGAGACAACATCATACTGTTCACTGTAGCATTATACATCAGTCTACCCAGTGGATAGACCCTAACTAGCAGACACACTCATATAACCTCCCTCACACACACTTACCCACACATTCACTTTCTCACTACAGTCATGGTCCAAATGTGGACAAAGAGCTGAATTCCAGAGGTGAAGTGAGAGTGACTATCCTTGAAATAAAGGCTGCATTTGATCGAGTGTAATATCAAGGAGCCCTAGCAAAACTACAGTCAATGGCAATCAGGGGTAAAACTGTTCGGTGGGCATACCTGACACACAGGAAGATGGTTGTGGTTGTTGGAGGTCAGTCATCTCAGCTCCAGGACATCTCTGCAGGAGTTCCTCAGGGTAGTGTCCTAGGCCAAACAATTTTCAGCTGCTTCAACAAAAGACCTTCACTCCATCATAAGGTCAGAACTGGGCATATTTGCTGAAGATTGCACAATGTTCAAGCAGCATTTGTGATTCCTCAGATACTAAAGCAGTCCATATCCAAATGCAGCAAGATCTGGACAAAGCCAGGTTTGGGCTGAAAAGTGGCAAGTACGTTCATGCCACACAAGTGCCAAGCTATGACCATCACCAATATGAGACAATCTAACAACTGCCCCTTAACATTCAATAGTGCTACCATTACTGGATCCCCCAGTATCAACATCCTTGGGGTTACCATTGACTGGAAACTGAACTGGGCCAGCCATGTAAATACAGTGGCTACAAGAGCAAGTCAGAGGCCAGGAGTTCTATTATTGAATTACTCACCTCCTGACTCATTGAAGCCTGTCCACCACCTACAAGGCACAAGTCAGGAGTGTGATGGAATACTCCCCACTTGCCTGGATGGGTGCAGTTCCAACAACACTCAAGAAGCTTGACACCATCCAGGACAAAGCAGCCGCTTGATTGGCACCACATCCACAAGCATTCACTCCCTCCACTACCGATTCTCAGTAGCAGCAGTGTGCACTATCTACAAGATGCACTGCAGAAATTCACCAAAGATCCTCAGACAGCATCTTGCTGCTTCATGACCTCTTCATGGGAACAACACCCCCGCAAGTTCATACACAGACCCACACACGCATTAACACCCCACATACATACTTGAGCACACCTTTCTCTCTCTCTCTCCTCTCTTACTTTCTCTAATCACCAAGTTTCATCTGCTGAGTTGACTGTGAGTTGATTTTCAGGACTGAGGGTTTTTGTAGTCAAGTGTGAATAATCTCTCTCAGAACCATTGCGCTTCACTTGCTCCTACCTTACTTGCTGTCTATACCTTTCCACTGAGAGTTAGTATAAAGACCGCAGATCTCACCTGTCTGTGTTGGTGTCACACGAATCACCTACAAGGTCGTTGTCATCATCCAACTGGAAAAGTCAAAACCAAAATCAACATCAAATCAGGACCATTCAATACAATTCATCCCTGCCCGATGTGGGTACAGTCCCCCAGAGAAACAGCACAGCTCTCCAGAGAGACAGTGGGATCTTCCAGAACAATAGAGATGCCCCCAACCCCAAACTCTCACAGACAGACCAAGAAACCTGCCCCCCTCCCTCACAATAACCAGAAATAAGCAAAGCCTAAAATTTCCACATATCATGCATGAGGCATTGGGCTGTGCTTTGGAGAGGAGATGAGAGCTTCTGAGCAGGAGCGGGATCCCCAATGAGAATGGTAAGGGGTCTCTGGCAGAGGCAGAAAGGGATTCCCAAGGAGAATGGTAAGGGGTCTCTGGCAGAGGGTGAAGGGATTCCCAAGGAGAATGGTAAGGGTCTGTGGCAGAGGGTGAAGGGATCCCCAAGGAGAATGGTAAGGGGTCTCTGACAGAGGGTGAAGAGGCCCAGGGTGAGCAGGCAGCTGATGGATGTTCAATACTAACCTGATCTGGGTTTCTGATGTTTGGGCAGCTGTCACAGGCATCTCCAACCCCATCACTGTCACGGTCCAGCTGATCCTGGTTTGGAACTCGCTCACAGTTATCTAAACCATTCCTTATTCCTACAGTAAGAAAGATTAAACTCTTCAGCAGATCAAATTAGGAACAATATCAATCTCTGCTTGTTCACAGAACCTGCTCAACCTCTTCAATCTCATACTTCACGAAGTTCACTCGATTGGTCCCTGGCATGTTGAGGTTTACCTTACAATGAGAGTCTGAATCAACTGAGTAAATCTTTTCTGGAGGGTAGAAGAATTAGAAATGATCTCATTGAAACATTTAAGATTCTGAAAGAGTATCACAGGGTAGATACTGACAGCTTGTTTCTTTAGCCCGGGAAAACGAGAACATTTCAGAATAAGGGGTTGATCATTTAGGGCTGAAATGAGGAAAGATGCCTTCACTCAGATATTTGTGAATATCTTGAGTTCTCCAACCCAGAGGGGTCTGGCTGCTCGGTCATCCATAATCATAGTGAATTCAGGGCAAACACAACGGACCATCAAATCACTTCAATAGTGGCTTTTATCTCGGAATTTCCATGGCATTCACGACCCGTTAGCGTTCCACTAAGAACAGTGTTCAGGATAATTCTTCACAAACAGAAGGAGGAACATGTCCTGATCTTGGCAATTGTTTGCTAAGTGTGAAGCTGGTTGTTATCTCCTTGTTCAGAGTCAGGCTGTCATTCAAAAAATGTACATCCAAATTGAATTGAATGATTTATTGTCACTTGCATTTTATATGAATAATACTGTAAAATACAGTGAAAAACTTCAACTGTCACCACAATCCAGCACAAATTGAAAAGCTTTAAGAACAAAAAAGTAAAAAGATATCACTGAAAGGGAATCTATCTTCCTTCCACTGCGTCTGCCATAAGCACTGAGCCGGCTCACCAACGACTCCTGCACCTCCATCACCTCGCTGCTGCCTGTGCTGGACCCCCCAATGTAAGAGTCACCACTCTTCAGGCTCCATCTCTTTGCCAGTGGGCCCACCTCCCACTGCTGCTGATGCCAGGTCCTGTGCTGAACCCACGCTCACCCCACAACCAGGAGTCTCCAGCTTCACTGCCACGCCACCATCACTGCCTCTCCAATGCCAGGAGTCCTTGCTCCGGGCCTAGTGCAACCAGGAGTCCCTGGCTCTGTTGACAGGCCAAGCCACCGCCTTGCCAAGAGTCCCACTCCAGCTGAACCCCTCCATCTATTGCTGAGGAAACATATTCCTTATGTTCTCAGATTGGCTGATGCACTCCCCTCTACCAAAATATACTGGCCTGAGATTAGGGATACTGTGATTAATACTTGCCCTAATTGTACTGCCACAAGGTTTAATAATGTCCCATAGCTTTTAGCATCATTACTCTTGCTTTGAGATCTGTGTGATCACCTGACCCGTTTCCTGGATTATTTACTCCTGTCGAGAGTAACTGCAAAAGCTTCATAATCTCCAGGAAACTTCACCTTCTATTTTTTCCCACTTACCGTCTCCATCCATGTCCTGATCACATGCATCTCCTTTTCCGTCACCATCAATGTCCTGCTGATTGTTATTAATGATGAGTCTGCAGTTATCACACATATCTCCAAAATTATCCTGATCTGTGTTTCTCTGGTCAACATTTGGGACCAGAACGCAATTGTCCTGTGAAAATGAGATGAGATGGATTAGTGTCACCAGCTGACGTTCGGGAGCATTTTCCAAATCCACGACCACTTGCATCTAGAAAGATAAGGGCAACAGATACATGGGAACACCATCCCCTTCAAGCTCCCTCTCAAGCCACACATCATCCTTATTTAGAAATATATCGCCATTCCTTTGCTGTCGCTGAGTCAAAATACTGGAATTCCCTCCCTAAGGGCATTGTGGATTAACTTACAGCACATGGACTGCAGCGGTTCAAGAAGGCAGCTCACCCCCACCTTCTCAAGGGCAACTAGGGATGGGCAATAAATGCTGGCCTAGCCAGAGACCCACCCCACATCCAAAATAATTTTTAAATTGCTATATTGAAACAACAGATTCCAGCTTCTCACAATTGTTTCTTTATTTTTTAAAGAAAATAGGCTCAGACAAAATTGGCCAAAAGTCTTCTTCAGTCTCTTCAATTTCTACAATTCCAAGAGCAAAAGCAAAAATTAATTGAATTTCTATAGTGTCATTCACATCCTCAGATCATCTCAAAATGTTTCACAGCCAAAAAAGTCCTTTTTAAGGTAGACACTGTTGTAATGCAGGAAATTCAGCAGTCAATTTGCACTCAACAAGATCCCACAAACAATGATGCAATAACAACCAGATAGTCTAATTTAGCAGCATCATTTGAAGGAATATTTGCTCAGATGGAAGTACCCTGCTCTGTGCAACACTGCCTTGGGATCTTTTATGACAAGTTGAGATGGATGGGTCTGAAATTCAATGTCTCACTTGAAAGATATCTTCTCCAACAGCACAGCGCTCCCGCTGTGCTGCCTCTCCAACAGCACAGTACTCCCTCTGTGCTGCCCCTCCAACAGCACAGCACTCCCTCTGCGCTGCATTGGCAGTGTCAGCCTACATTATGAGCTGAGGTATCTGCAACGGTATTTGAAAGTATCACCTGCTCCGAGTGGCAAGTGCTGCTGCTTGCAGAGCTGATAATGAATTGAATCAAACACCAACCTCAAGGTTTGGAACTCCATCTCCATCTGCATCATCATCACAGGCGTCTCCAGCACCATCTCCATCAGCATCTTCCTGCCCAGAGTTTGGGACTGTCACACAGTTATCCTGGGGGAGGAACAGCATATCTATCAACAAACACTTATTATCTTTCCACCATAACACAGTGTGGAACTGGATGAACGCAGCAGGCCAGGCAGCATCAGAGGAGCAGGAAAGCTGATGTTTTGGGTCCAGACCCTTCTTCAGAAATTTCTGAAACATTTCTGAAGAAGGGTCCCGACCGGAAATGTTAGCTTTCCTGTTCCTCTGATGCTGCCTGGCCTGCTGTGTTCCTCCAGCTCCACCCTGTGTTATCTCTGACTCCAGCATTTGCAGTTCTTACTATCTCCTATCTTTCCATCAGTTTCCTCTCTTTTCTTAGCTTCTTCCTCCTTACTCTCTCTCCAACTTTCTCTCCCTTTCATTCTGTTCCATCCGTACCTTGTGGCAGTGTCTTTCAGGACACTCAAGTGTCACATCTGGAAACCCATCAATATCTGTGTCCTTTGCACATCTGTAGCCATTTCCAGCCCATCCGATTGCACACTGTGACAATTAGAAAATTAAAGACCATCTTAATTAACAACATGATTAAGCATGAAATATAAAAAGTGCCCTAAACAATAACATTGTTGGGAGTCTTGGTGGAGAAATAATATGCAGGGTCAAGCCCCTGTACACATCTGGGGTACAACTGGATTTGGTTCATTGCCTCTCACCATTAACATTTAGTAAACAAGTTAATTATTACATTTCCTTTCTCAATTTCTTTATCCATATTATCTCACAGGATAAGCATGTGTTCTCTCTTTCATTTCCAGTTTGCTGTTCATCCAGAATTAGTGTTTGCCGTCATTTCATTTTCTCTATAACTTATATTTGTCTCTATATAGAATTGTGTATGTTCGTGTGTAGTTGAGATTGCAGAGATTGTGTATGTATTCCCTACAGTTGTAAACAATGAGAGGTAATCTCACCGAAACATGGACATCCTAATGAGCTTGTCAGGGTAGATGCATGGAGGATATTTTCTTTGGCTGGGAGTTTAGAACTACATGATATGGTCTCAGGATAAGGTGGGTCACATATTTACAATTGTGGGAAGGGTTTAGAATGAGGTGAGAGTGACAGCACTTGACAACAATTTAACCAAATGTGGCATCAAGAGGCCTTAGCACAACTGGGGTCAATGGGATTCGGGGGAAAACTCTCCACTGGTGGGAATCATATTTGGCACATAGGAGGAGATTGTTCAGGCTGCTGGAGATCGGTTATCTCAGCTCCAGGACATTTCTACAGGAATTCCTCAGGGTAGCGTACTAGACCCAAACTGCTTCATCAATAATCTTCTGTCCATCATAAGGTCAGAAGTGGGGATTATCGCTGATGATTGCACTATGTTCAGCACCATTCATGACTCCTCAGGTACTGAAGCAGTTCGTATCCAAATGTAGCAAGACCTGGACAATATCCAGCTCAGGCTGAAAATTGGCATGTACACAAATGCCAGGCAGTGATCATCTCTTATAAGAGAGAATCTTACCACTTCTCCATAACATTCAATAACGTTCAATAATCACTGAATCCCCACTATCAACATCCTGGGACTTATCATTAACTGCAAACTGAACTGATCTAGCTATGTAACTACAGTGGCTACAAGAGCAAGTCAGAGGCCAGGAGTTGTATTATTGAATTACTCATCTCCTGACTCCCCAAAGCCTGCCTACCACCTACAAGGCACAAGTCAAGAGTGTGATGGAATACTACCCCCTTGCCTGGATGGGTGCAGCCCTAACAACACTTGAGATGATCAATACCATCCAGGACAAAGCAGCCTGTTTGATTGGCACCACATCCACAATCATCCACTCCCTCCACCACTGACACTCAGTAGCAGTAATGTGTTCTATCTACAAATGTACTGCAGAAATTCACCAAAGATCCTCAGACAGCACCTTCCAAACCCACGACCACTTCCATCTCGAAGGACAAGGGCAGCAGATATATGGGAACACCACCCCCTGCAAGTTCCCCTCCGAGCTCCTCACCATCCTGACTTGGAAATATATCGCCATTCCTTCATTGTGACAAGGTCAAAATCCTCGAATTCCCTCCCTAAGGGCATTGTGGGTCAAGCATCAGCACATGCACTGCAGCGGTTCAAGAAGGCAGCTCACCACCGCCTTCTCAAGGGCAACTAGGGACGGGGCAATAAATGCTGGCTGAGCCAGCAACACACACATCCCGTAAATGAATTAAAAAGACAGTTGCAAATGGATAATTATTGAATATTTTAACGATTAAATATTGAATATTTCATGGCTCAGATAGACAGGAATCAGGGAATATTGGAATAGTATGAAGAAATAAATAACTAGAGTTGTACTGAGTGGTGCAGCAGACCCAAGGGTTTGAATTGTGTCCTCTTGCATGTTATTTTTCTTGTTGTTCTGAGCTGTCCCTTTCCCTTGCCCCCTCAGTCCTACATGGTCCCCTTGATCCTCACTCAATCCTGGGGCCACTTATTCTATTCCCTCCAATCATGATGAAGAGCATCCCTTACCTGTTTCTCTCCCTCTGTCCCTTGCTCCAATTACATACCTATGTTGCACTCATTCCTTTATTCCTGTCTCTCTCTCCCGCCCTGTCCCTTTCTCCCCATCCTTCACTCTCTCACTTTGTCTCAGCCTTCTCAATTCCCATCGCTTTATCTTTCTCCTGCTCCTTTTGTCTCTCCCCATCCCTCTCTTTCTCCCTCCACTTTTTTCTTTCCCCATCTATGTTTCTTTCTAGACACTTTAACTCCACATCTCTCTCTCACTCCCTCGCTGCTGCTTTCCCACTCTGTTTCTCTCTCCTGTTTGACCCTCATTCTCCCCGACCCTCTTTTACTTTCATCCTGTCCTGCTCTCCTTCTGTGTTCCCTCTCTCCTCCTCTTTTTGTCTCTTGCTCTGCCGACCCATCCTCAGAGATTGATGGATTACATTGCATTCCTTACAACACAAGTGATCTTGTTTTGGCGGCTGACAATACAGTCTGCTCTCTCATGGCAGGGGTTTCTCGCTCCATTGCTGCAGCTCCTCTCCAAACGACAGCCCCGGTTCTGATCTCGGACATAGCCGGCCTTACACGGGCCACACCGAAATGATCCCTGGACAAATACAAGGACGTTTGTTGTTAACGTCAGAAAACAAACAATCAAGATTTCCTTGCTCAGCTGTTGGTAGAGTTCCAATCTAAGGGATAGTTTGACACTTTTTTTTGACACTATTATATGCCATCAAGCTCCTTATTCCGTCCCTCACTCAATCCCTCACTCACTCAGCACCTCACTCAGCATCTCATTCAGCCCCTCACTCAGTTGCCTCACTCAGTCCCCTCACTTCACCCCTCACTCTGTCCCCTCACTCACTTAGCCACTCACTTAGGCCTTTACTCACTCAGTCGCTTCACTCACTCATTCCCTCACTCACTCCCTCATACTCACGCTGCCTCTTCAATTCTCATGCCATTTCTCTCTCAGTGATTTGCAAGTTGTTTTTCTCTGGGGTAGGGACTACTGTCTCACTGAAGTGTGGAGTGGGTGGGTGATCTTGGCACCAATTCTTACCGGAGTGTTGATGCACTCCGAGTTCGGGTCACAGCCGCCATTGGCACCATTCTCACACTCATTGATGTCATTGCAAATCTGAAAAACAAAGAAGTTTAAAGAAATCACATCCACATATTCACCTCAAACCCCAGATCGTCATCTCCCAGCGTCCGCTCACAGCCCAATGGAACCGCAGCCAGTCTCCATGACAATAGGTCCTGGTCCCATCACAGAAATGCCACTACGTGCCAATTCATCACCACAGCAGGAACCAGTACCCCTCCCTCTCAGCACCCGTCCACCTCCAGCCCAGCAGCATAGCCAAGTGCACGTCCAGTCATTCCTGCCTTTAGAGAAGCTGCCTCAATGTTCAGAAGGTCAATGCAGCCTTTTGTGTCAGTGGGACTGAAACAATTACAGTAATTACCAAAAGTTAACAGATACAGAGGGAACAGTGAGGAATCTTCAGCTTGTTGTGGTGTTGGATCTTTACCTGCCTGTGTGTTGTGGCAAATGTCTCTCCAACTCCCTGGATTTGTGGGCCAGTGTAACCAACTGGGCAGGGGTCACATTGAAAGCCAGGAGACATGTTAATGCATCGGACCCTGGGGTGGCACGGACGTGTCCGGCACTGGGAAAGAGAAAAAGATTGATTCAACGCCTGGTATTCACTGGTGAAATCCAACACAGTAACTGTTTAGGTACATGTATCTGTACTTCCTGGGTCAGGACTGTCACTCAACTCTAAAATTATTTCTTTGAGTTTGATGAGATTGAGCAAACTAACACATCACCATCCTGATCCCAAGGTTACACCTCTCCATGTTCTGTTCATTGGTCATTGAGTTAATTAATCTGACATCAGTTTTGACAATTTTGAAAAGAAAGCTCAGATCAGTTCCTTCCCAACCCTCTTCGCTCCCTCCCCCTGCCCCAGCCCCTCCTGCTGTGCTCACCTCATCCACATCAGTACAGTGTGTCCCATTCCCTGTAAAGCCATTGGGACAGGCCCCACAGTAAAATCCATTGAGTGTCGCTGAGCACTGAACCCCAGGGAAGCATGGATTGGGATCACAGCTCCCAAATGGATAAACAGTGATTGTCTCGTGCTGCCATTCATTTTGGAGACCTGGGGAGAGAAGGAAGAATTAGGACTGAATTGTGAAATGCACCAGAGTCTTTACCTCCAGAAACACAGCAACAAACCATCCAAAACAGATAGTGATCTGCATCAGGGAGAGGACCTGGCTCAGGGAGAGTGGGCTGGCTTGGGGAGAGGGGGCTGGCTTGGGGAGAGGGCCCTGGATCAGGGAGAGTGGGCTGGCTCAGGGACAGGGAGGCTGGGCTCGGAGAGAGGGTCCTGGCTCAGGGTGAAGGCTGGGTAGAGTGGAGGGCCCTGGATCAGAAAGAGTGGCCTGGGTCAAGAAGAGGGGTCTAGCTCTCAGAGAGCGCCCTGGATCAGGGAGAGGGTCTGGCTCGGGGAGAGGGCCCTGGGTCAGGGAGAGAGCCCTGGTGCAGGGAGAGGGTCAGGCTCAGGGAGAGGGGGCTGGGTCGGGAAGAGAGGCCTGGGTCAGGGATAGGGGCCTGGGTCAGGGAGAGGGCCCTGGGTCAGGGAGAGGGTCCAGCTCGGGGTGAGAGGTCTGGTTCCCGGGAGGAGGTGCCACACCACATTTTCCTGGAATGAGATAATAACAGTGTGCTGTCATTCAACATGGAATCCTGGCTTTTTTTTAAGAAGCATTGATGTAGTTTATCTTCGCTGAAATCCTGTCAATCCCCATTGGTTTACTCACCACAGAAATTACATTCTGCCAACGTATTCTTCAGAAAGATGACCTCCTTTATCTGTGAAGCATAGAGTAAAGTTAGAAAAACAAGGACATGCAACATCAGACTACTCCTTTTCTAATCCTGTGCTGTCCCTGTCCCGGGAGTGCTAAATGGGGACAGTGTAGAGATAGCTTTACGTTTCATACATGATAGCTGGAACATAAATGTAAGTGAAGGATATTTTAGTCTCTCCCTTATTGTTGCACAATGACATTAGAATGTTATCTAAGTCATGACTAGTTTAAAAATAAAGGCTGCAGGTCCCATACTCTAATATTCAAAAAAAATAGTTCATAGGCAAAAAAAATTTAAAAAAACCTTTCTGAGCTTTGTAGGTGCTAACTGACAGAGGTCATGGGCAATGAATTAAGGTAAAGTTCAACTGGGGGATTTCAGGGTCAGGCCAAGTATGCGATGGGCAGATTGGCTAACTCCTGCATCTAATTTTTTTTCGATACCTGGGCGGGTTAATGACCTGTTTGTGACACATGTTCCCAGCTACAGGTATGCTAGACATTAGCAAGAAAATATCAAAAACAGAAATTGCTGGAGAAACTCAGAAGTCTAGCAGCAAATTACTGCAAGTGCAGGAATCTGTTGTGAAAATACCTCTGTTGAAGAATCATCAAGACGTGAAATATTAGCTTGCTTTTTCTCCATGGATGCTGCCTGACCCGCTGTGATCTCCAGCATTTGCTGTTTTCGGGTGTAGCAGCATCTGTGGAAAAAGCAGAATTAATGTTTCAAGTCCAGTGACCCTTCTTCAGAACTGATTGCAGCTGGGAAAATGTTGGTATAAATGCTAGAGAACGGGTGGGGAGAGGGGCAAGAAGTAAACAATAGGTCGAGATGCAGCCCAGAGAGAGAGAGAGAGAGACAGAGAGAAACAGTTGGCAGACAAAGGGTGAGAAAAGGTCAGCCTGGAGGAATGAAGAGCAGCTAATGGGGACCATCAGAGCCTGACAATGGAATGGCTGTGGTAGCAGCCCAATTGATGCCCAGGCCCAGTGTGTTGGGGTTGGGGGAAGGGCATGGCAGAAGCTGCTCAGGTCCTAAATTTATTGAACTCAAGTTCTGAAAGTTGTAGCGTCCCCAAGGAGAAAACCAAATACTCAGAGCAAATGCACAATTATAGCAGGTGAAGTATAACAGGTCTTTTATTGGCCTCATTACCTGTTGTTTCAGGAGAAGTTTGATTTCTGCCAATTCCTGGTTTGTTTCCCTCATTTGAGCAAGCATTCTTCGCCCAACTTCTTCTCAAGTCCCAGAGGAAAGACACAATATTAGGTTATAGAAACCGATGGCACACAAACACATTGTCCATGATGTTAATCCAGCTCCCTCACATTGTCACTCAGTAACCCCTCTCTCCCCCAGCGCCTTGTGTTACTGACTGTATCTCTATTGCTGTTAATCCAGCTCCCTCACACTCTCACTCAGTAACCCATCTCCCCGAAATGCCCTTTGTTACTGACTGTATCACTACTGGTGTTAATCCAGCTCCTCAAACTGTCACTCAGTCACCCCTCTCCTCCCCAGTGCCTTATGTTACTGTCTGTATCTCAGCTGTTGTTAATCCAGCTCCCTCATGCTGTCACTCAGTAACCCCTCTCCCCCAGTGCCCTATGTTAGTGATTGCCTCTCTGCTGATGTTAATTCAGCTCCCTCACACTGTCAGTCAGTAACGCCTCTCCACCCTGACTCCAAGAGCCCTGTGTTACTTACTATTTCTATACTGATGTTAAACCAGCTCCCACATACCGTAACTCATTAACTCCTCTCCTCACCAGCGCCCTGTATGACCAACTTTATCTCTACTGATGTTAATCCAACTCCCTCACACTTCCACCGATTAACCCCTCTTCCCCCAGGGCTCTGTGTTACTGACTGCAGCTCTATTGCTGTTAATCCATCTCCATCACACTGTCACTCAGTAACCCATCTCCCCGAATGCCCTGTGTTACTGACTGTATCTCTACTGATGTTTATCCATCTCCATCACACTGTCACTCAGTAACCCCTCCCCCCCCAGCACCCTGTGTTACTGACTGTATCTCTACTGATGTTAATCCAGCTCCCCCACACTGTCACTCAGTAACCCCGCTCCCCACCCAGCACCCTGTGTTACTAACTATACCTCTACTGACATTAATCCAGCTCCCCCACACTCACTCAGTAACCCCTCTCCACCCCAGCGCCCTGTGTTACTGACTGTATCCCTAGTGATGTTAATCCCTCTCCCTCATACTGTCACTCAGTAACCCCTCTCCCCACCCGCAGCACCCTGTGTTACTGACTGTATCTGTACTAATGTTAATCCCTCTCCCTCACACTGTCACTCAGTAACCCCTCTCCCCCCACAGCACCCTGTGTTACTGACTATCCCTACTGATGTTAATCCCTCTCCCTCATACTGTCACTCAGTAACCCCTCCCCCACCCCCAGCGCCCTGTGTAACTGACTGCATCTTTACTGATGTTAACTCGTTTAGGTTCCGCGAGGTACTTGATCAGCACACTCTGTTGATGGATTAACGTGTTAAATAGTGAAATGACTTTAACCACGCTTATAATCTTACTTCTCCGTGTTTGACAGTAAATGGAACTCCAAAGACAACTCACAAATTCTCCCCAGGGGTGATACAAACAGGAAACAAGAAAACCGGGAGTAAGAGAGTGACGAATCCAGAAATGAGAGCTGTAAGTAAAAAGCAATGAATCCTGGAGCGACCGAATGATAAACTGGGGTCTTCCTGTGCACGGGTGCTCATTTTGGAAAACAAATGCCCAATTTAAGACGTTACTTTGAAAGTTGTCACCCAAAAACATACCAGGAATTCTTCTGATTACGTTCCATGTTTTGTCGAGAAAATTGTGTCACAAACAGAAGAAAATTAATAAAAATGGAATGAGTCTTACCTCCAGTAACCAGTTGCTGACAGGAGCTGTACTGACTCAAAAGGTGCAAAATTATAATAAATAAAGAAATGGCTGGAATCATTTTCAGTTTTAGGCTTTCAGTTAAAGTGATCTCATTCAGCTTGTTCCAGCTCTTAACTGCTAAATCCAGAAAACAGCTCTCGCCCAGTTCCTGTGTCCCCTCCAGTTGCTGTCTCCTATTGTATCTAAGGCTGCTTGTGGACTCTGCCTGTTCCAGCTCGCAACCTCTCGAAATATTTGCTAAGTGGCTGCTGCTACTTTCTCCCTTTCTTTTAAATGATGATTTCTGCCAGAGTGACATCATGTGTTGGCATTCTGTCTGAAGTAGCTTGCCCAAAACAAAAACAAAAGGAGTTTGAAAGCCTCAGGAATTAGAGAAAAAACATGTATTTCCTGTCCTTTCCTCACTAGCTCCCGCCTCCATTTCGTTAAAGGTACTCAGCCTACTCTGCTCAAAATGTGGATCTCAAACCCTGATTCAGTGCCTTCATTTCTTTCATCCTTTAAGAATGTTTACACTTTCTTTTCTGTCAATGATTCTAGGTTTCAAATCCACCTCTACCTGTCTATCCGTGTGCCTCTATCATTGTCTCTCTCTCTCTACATATATACTGTCTCTCTCTGCATCTCTCCCTGTGTCTGCATTCCTGCTCCATTCTCTTTATCTGCTATTTTTTCTCTGTTTGTCTACCTCTCTCTACATTTGACTGTTGCACTTTTCGCTCTGTCTGCCTGTATCTGCCTTTGTCTGTCTGCATCCATCTCTCTCCCTCTGTCTACATCTCTCTCTCCGAATCAGTCTGTGTCTGCATTGCTGTTCTGTGTTTGTGTACTAGTAAATGGATAAATACTTGAAAAGGAAAATCAGATGCAAGCATTTGCTTCGTCTGATCATGCACGCAGTTTATTCAAACTAAATTCTCTCATTTCAGATATCATTCCAGTGAATTATCTCTTGGATCTTCTAGACATTGACATCCTTCCTAAAGTTCACGTTTGGTCTAAATACTGGGGACTATCTCGTGTTTTTACCCGATTAGCATAATTTCCCTAATTTCGTACTCAATCTCTTGATTAGAAAAGTCAATAATTCCATTTACTTTATGAACAATCTTCTCAATTTCTTCTGTGATTTCTGTAAATATAGCTCAGATATCTCTATCGCATTTCGTTAATTTTCTGCTCCCTCATTCTTCCTCCTAGAATCTTACATATTACAATTCTTTGTATAAAATTTCATCTTTGATGTACCTTCCCATTTCACTTGAGAGGGTTTTATTGATGAATGAACTGAAGTGATGATGTGGGGTTCTCTGGATTATTCACAGTCGCAGAGACGCCTGGAATGGAAAATTGGAAAGAAAAAAGAAATTGAAAATCGACAGCAAGAAAAACAAAGTTCTGGAAATACTGGGCAGATCTGGCAGTATCTGTCGACAGAGTTAACATTTCAGGTCAATGGCCTTTCTTAGAATTCTTCAGACCAGCTGAGTATTTTCTGTCTTAATTTTAAATTCCCTACATTCAATATTTTATTCTTGTTTTAATGTGTTCCGACTGTGGAGTGTCCTGACGTGCAGTATCTGGTGTCCTCACTGGGCAGTGTCCAGTGTCTGTAAACTAACCGTGCAGTGTCCAGTGGCCTGAGAGGGCAGTCCCTGACCTCAGTCTGTATTGAGTACAGTGACTGCTTTAGGTGCGTAAATATTTCACAGGGAGGGGGTCAATAATCCAGGATCTTTCCTTCTGATCAGTAACTAGAGCAAAGTAAGTGTTTCGGAGATAGTAGGAACTGCCGATCCTGGAGAATCTGAGATAACAAGGTGTAGAGCTGGATGAACACAGCAGGCCAAGCAGCATCAGAGGAGCAGGAAAGCTGACGTTTCGGGTCTGGACCCTTTGCTGGGTTTTGATTATTACAGTTGATGTTTTTGAAATCAAAGGATAGATCAGCAAGGGATCTGGTCTTCCTCTTTATCCAAAAGATGCTGAAGACCATTGTAGCACTGGTTGAGATGAGTGTTCACAGCGCAGAGCAGGGCCTGAGGCTAGACTCAGTATGGCTCGGACCAACAGACCAAAGGTCACAGCAGGAAAACAATTCTGAAGTCGTTTCCAGTGGGCGGTGACTTCAGAAAGCCGACACAGATCAGTACTGGACCAGGGTCAGTAGCATGGAGCAGGAGCTGATAGATAAAGGACAGGCTGAGTGAATGGGCTAGTACTGATAGAATTCAATGTAAAAAAAAACGTGAGGTTACCCACTTTGGTCGGAGAAACAGACGGGCAGCGTATTTTATTAAATGTAGAAAATGTCGATAAGTCACTGGGGGCTCATGCAGGTGCAGCAAGCTTTAGGAAAGCTAATGAAGTGTTAATCTTTATTGTAAGAGGATTTGAGTACAGGAGGGAAGCCTTGTTTCAGTGGTATGGGAGCTTAGTTAGACTGCACCTGGAGTACTGTGTTCAAATATATTATTGCCATAGAGGGAGTACAGTGAAGGCTCACCAGACTGTTCCTGGGATGGTGGGACTGTCCTATGAAGATGGTGGGACTGTCTTATGAAAATGGTGGGACTCTCCTATGAAAAGAGATTGGACAAACTGGGTCTGTATTCTCTAGAGTTTTGAAGAATGAGGAGTGATCTCATTGAAACTAACAAAATACTGAAAGGGATAGACAGTGTAGATGCAGGTGAAATGTTTCCCTGATTGGGGAGTTGAGAACCAGGGTGCACAATGTAAAAAGAAAAGGGATGTCACATGTTCAAGAATGGGAGACTTTTTTTTACTAAACGGTTGTGAATCTTTGGAATTCTTTACCACAGAGGGCTATAGATGCTCAGTATTTGAATATCTTTAATGGAGAGATTGACAGATTTCTGATCCCCAGTCGGGTACATGGATATGGGGACAAGTGTCGGTATAAGATTACAGAATGATCGTATTGAATGATAAAGCAGGCTCAATGGGCAGAATGGCTTACTTCTGTGTTTATTGAGAGGGGAAGAGAGTCAGTGAGGGAAGGGATCAGCGAGTTAGAGGCTCAGCGAGGTAGGGACACACTGAAGGAGGGTCAATGAGGGAGTGTGTGGTTGGAGGAGGGTGCAAACTGCACAGGTTGTTATGATGAAGGTAAAGCTGATGTCCCCAGGACTGAACAGTTGAGGGGAAGGAAGAAGCCTATCTGATTGCACACACCATCCCCAGCTCTCTCCATGTCATTAGTCTTCAGAAATCTATTGAGTTTTGTTTTGAACACACACAATGAGTCAGCCTCTGGGACAGAGAATTTTAAAGATTCACCAGCATCTCAGTGAAGAAATACCTTCTCATTTCTGTCTTCAAAGGCCAGTCTCTTATTCTGAGACTGTCACCTGGTTCTAGATTCATTAGCCAGAGTCAATATCCTAAAACAGTACACATTTCTTCAGGTGATCCCCTTACTCAAACCCCTTGTAATGAAAGCCAACAAACCATTTGCCTTCATTGCTGATGGTTGCACCTTTCATAACTCATTAACAAGGATACTCAGGTCCTTTTAGAAAGCAGCACTTCCCAACTGCTCACCATTTAAGAAATACTCTGCCTTTCTTTTTTTTACCAAAGTGGATAACTTCACACTTATTCACGTTACATTCATTCTGTCTTGTTCTTGCCCATTTACTCATCCTTGAAATAACTCCTCAGAGGCTGGTATCCTGTCATGAAGTCACCTTTTATTTACACATGGAACGTCCTCAACTCTGGCACAGCCTCATCAGAGCCAGCTCTCAGAATGAACAGAACCTCTGATATTCCTGAGATAACAAGGTGTAGAGCTGGATGAACACAGCAGGCCAAGCAGCATCATAGGAGCAGGAAGGCTGATGTTTCGGGCCTAGACCCTTCATCAGAATT